GCCGTCAGGTTCAGGACTCAAACAGTGGTCAGCCATGTGGGAATTCCAGCGCCTTAACCACCACACCACCTGCCAGTCCCCCGCTACACAATCTCTTGGACACAGAAAATGACATAAAGGGGATAGGCAGGTGGTGTGGTGGTTAAGGGTGCTTGACTCCCACATGGCTGACAGTGGTTTGAGTCCCCCTGGTGGTTTTTTCACTTTCTCTCTCTCTCTCTCTCTCACTCTGTCCTTCTCTTGTCAAATTAAAATAAATAAATAAATATAAATAAAACAATTATTTTAAAAAAAGAGAAAATGCTGTGAAGAATAATACAGAGAGCACCTATGTACCTTCCACTCGGTTTGAGAAATAAAAAAATCGATCAGTCCGAGCTGAAGTTTCCCTACTCCACCAAGAGGTGACTGGTCTCCTGACTTGGCGTTTATCCCAGCTCTTATTTATGTTTTGGAATACGTATGAATCTTTGAGGAATGTGTGAAATTGCTTTGCATGTGATTAAATTTTAAATACATATCATCATTCTGCATGTATTCTTCTGGAACCTGTTTTTCCATTCTGCCTTATTATGTTGGGTGTGTGCACTCACCAGAAAGACAGAGATAAATAGAAAGACAGAAAGCGAGAAATCACCCCCTGAGCGGATGGCCATGCCACAATCCCTTCTCCTCCATTCTTCTCTCGGGATCTTGGGCACGCACGCACACGCGCCCGTCCTGAGTTTAAGCCACCGAGTCTGGAACTTGAACCGCGGTCGACTACTTGGGAGTCCAGCGACATAGTCATTATGCCTACTGCTGGTCCCAACAATACTTGTTTTAAGTGTACAGCTTGGTGAGTTTTGACAAATATGTACATCCATGTAACCAGCATGACACTCAAAATGCAGCACGTTTTCATCATCTGTCGCCATTGCTTTGCCCCTTTGTTCCTCTCCCTGAGCCTTGTTTTTGCATACCACTGCTCTGTTCTCTGTCCCTATAGATTTGTTTTGAGTGTTCTTGAATTTTATATTAATGAAACCCATAAAATAGAGGTTGTACTCACTTTCCCCTGATTTCACAGCCTTCAGCTGAGGGCCTGGCTCTCGAAGCAGGGCTGCTGCCTTGTGCTTTGTGCCTTCATGTGCCTTTGTGTAGACAAGAAGAAAGTGTCCCTTCCTTTGGTCTGCTGTAGCTCTATGCCAAAGGCAAGGCTTAGTAATCAGTCTGGGCTACACTTCTGTCCCTACTTGTCCCTTCTGCTGAACACCTTCAAAACTTACATGATGAGGCCAGATGGTGCAGAAGTAAAATATGACATTCTGAGATGCTGACTCATGGAAAAGTTCTGGGTTCACGTCCAGAGACTGCTTTTAGGACACTGGGCTCACACATGCTCGTGATCTGGTGTGGCTGAAGTTGGGGTTGAATAACAGCATCAAGACCCTGTTGGGGGTGCCATCTCTCTATCTTTGTCACTCATGGAAGAAATAAATAAATGAACTAAAAAATTAAAAACTTGTATGATCATATGGGTCAACCATGCCTGGAGGAAGGAATTAGTAAATGAACAAATAATTCTGAAATATGGATATTCTATATAGAAAAATATTGAGGCTCAAGGAGGATAGGTTACTTATGCAGAGACCCATCAGGAAGGGCAGACACAGATTTGTCTTGGGTTTGTCTGTCCTGAAGGCCCAAGGGAACTCTTCTTTTGACTACCTCCTTCTCTGGTCTCAACTGAGTTCAGCACTTTCTGTGTTATTAAGCAAATGTCATGTTCATGGTTCTTTTTCAGCCCAAGATCAGCCACTTCTGGAACTTACTCCAAGACTTCTGCAAGGTGGGGTGAATGTCTGGCTCTCTCCCAGGATCAGTCTCTCCAACTCTAAATCCTCCCTGTCTCAACTGGAGTGTGATCAGAGTCCAGGGATAGAAAGAAAGGCAAGGACTTTGGGACCACACCATTGCTTCTACTTGACGATTGACTTGTTGGGTGATCTTGGACATCTCACTTAAGCCTCATCTGTGAAATGGAAGTTCTAATACCTACCTCATAGGGATGAACTACAGGTAGGTGAGCACTCAGCAAAGGTTAGTTCTGTTTCTCCTTCCACTTTACTGAGAACGAGAATTGTGTCCCATGTTAGATCCACACAAAGAAAACTGAAGCCATGGGGCTGGCCCCATGGCCAGGTAGTTAAGGAAGGTGGATTCCACATGGCTGACCAAACAGTTTGAATCTTGTCCCTGGTGGTTTGAAAAGCATGCTGGATGCATATGCACATATGCACAGCAGACCAAAGGAAGGGACACTTTCTTCTTGTCTGCACAAAGGCACAAATCCAGAGAAGATGGAGAGATGGAGAAGGGATTGTAGTATGGCCATACTCCCTTGGGGAGTGCTTTCTCTTTCTCTCTCTCTCTCTGGCAAGTGTATGCAATCTCTGGCAAATTAAAAAAAAGAAATGTATGGAAACTCTGGAAAAATAAAAAAAAAAAAAAAAAAAAAAAAAGGAAAGGAAGGAAGGAGAGAAGGGAAGAAGAAGGAGAAAGGAAGGGAGACAAGAAGGAAGGGTGGGAGGGAGGAAGGAAAGAAACCAAAGCATGTACCTACATGTTGAAGAAGTGTGTCAACCTCATAAATAGAAATTACTTTTTCTCTTGACCTGGACTGTTCCCCTATCTGAGCCTCAATTTCCTCATAATTATTTTTTTAAAGCATTATTTATTTTATTTATTTATTATTATTATTTCACATGAGTTTGGCCAGAGAAAGAGAGAGAGAAAGCAAGCTACCAGGTCCAGGACTTGACCCACAGTCGGCAATGTAGGAATTCCAGCACCTTAACCACCATGCCACATGCTGGTTCCATTTTCCTTATTATTTTTTAAAGAATTATTTTATTTAACTTTATTTATTTTAATTTGACCAGGGGGAGTGAGAAAGCAAGCTGCCAGGTCCGGGACTTGAACTGCTGTTGGTCATGTGGGAGTCCAGTGCCCTTATTAACCACCATACCACCTCCAGCCCCGATTTGCTCATATTTCAAATGTGGATAGTAATACATAACCACAGGAAGACTGATCACTTACTGAGTATTTACTGTGCAGCAGACACTGCAGAGTGCTATTTATGGGTGTGTTGTTATCTTCTCATCACAGTAAGTCTGTGAGATAGGTGCCGTTATGATCCTCATGTCCTAGACGAGGACACTGAGGTTCAAAGAAGTGGAGTACTTTGCCTAAGTCACCCAGCTGCTAAGTGGCAGAGCTGGGATATGAATCCTGCTCTGCGGCATTCTAGACCAGGATTTCTCAACCTACTGACATGTTGAGCCAGATATTTCTCTGCAGGGGAGGAGGGCAGTCCTATGCATTGTGCAATGTTTAGTGGGATCTTTGGCCTCTACCTGCTGGATGATAGTAATGTCCATATCCAGTTTTAACAACCAAAAATGTTCCCAGACATTGCCAAATAGCCTCTGGTGAGCAAAAACACCCCGGTTAAGAACCACTGCTCTAGGGGCCGGTAGGTGGCATGGTGGTTAAGGGCACTGGATTCCCACATGTCCAACTGTGGTTCAAGTCCTGAACCTGATGGCTTGTTTTCTCACTTTCCCTCTTTTGCTCTGTCCTCTGGCCAAATTAAAATAAATCAATAAAGTTAAATAAAATAATACTTAAAAAAAGAAAAAGAATTGCTGCTCTATGGTTTAGAGTACTAGACAATGTCTTTTCTCTGTAATATGTCTGAGCTAGCAAAGCTTCTTTCCCTGCTAAAGGTCAGGAAAGGAAATCAGCTGCAGACAGGTGTTATACTAATGGTAACACTGTTTCATGTTTGTTACAGCCTGCTTTCACTTACAAAGTGCCTTCTCAAACATTATTCTGTCTGATTTTCCTAGGTGAGGATTAAATCCCTGCATAGAGGGAAGTGTCTAGCACAGTGCCTAGCACTTATTATTAATAGATAAAATTGTTTCCTTTCATCAGCAAGATGAGGCAATGAAGGTTCAGTGAGGTTAAATGACTATCCCAAATTACACAGTAAGGGATATTGACCTTTGTTGTATTTATTCACCTGTTAATTATTGTTCTTTTTTTTTTTTTAAGAAAGATTTTTGGCTATAGGGCATGTGTGCTCGCCAGAGAGACAGAGGGACAAAATGCAAGAAATCACCCCCCTCCCAGGGGAGATGGCCACGCTGCAATCCCTTCTCCTGCATTCTCCTCTTGGGATTTTGGGTGCACATTTTCCTGGTGTGAGTTTTAAGCTGCCAGGTCTGGGACTCAAACTGCAGTCCAGTGACATAACCATTACACCATCTATAGGTCCCTAATTATTGTTCTTAACTCTTATTCTGTAATTCAGAGCAGGGTTTCTACTTTCACTGAGAAGATCTAGGCAAATTAGAATTATTTTAGACTCATTGTTTCCTAGAGTTGTAAGGGTCCTATGAGCTGTCTAGTTTAGCTCTCTACTGTATGATTCTCAATCTGAGTCCATTATTTCTTCCCAGAGAGAGAGAGAGAGAGAGAGAAATGAGAGGTAGAGGGTCTTCACGTTGCTCTCCACTTCGAGTATCAGCCCAGATGACAGGCAACATGTATGTGTACTTGGAGCCCTCAGGGAGGTCCCAGGACCATGAACCCAGGACCTTTCCTATGTGGGCCCAGTTGTGTCACACTGTGCCACTACCTGGCCCTTTAAAGAAGACTATTTTTAAAAAGTATTTATTTTGTTTATTATTATTATTTTAATTTGACCAGAAAGAGAAAGTGCAAGAAAGGAAGTGAGAAAACAAACCACCAGGTCTGGGACTTGAACTGCAGTCAGCCATGTGGGAGTCCAGCGCCTTAACCACCACATCACCTGCTGACCCCTATTTTTTTTAATATAAGTTTGTCCCATAAAGTTGTTACTAATACCAGATCTCTTGTGGCCCTGGGACTTCCTTGGAAGAAAAGCGAGCAGGGCTCAGTTGGTCATATGATGGGAGAAGAGTTATTCATATTCTAAAAAAAGAAGAGGCCTTCTGATTGGGCTTTCCCATCTCACCCAGAGTGGTCTACTCCCTCACTGGGAATATTTTAATGTTTCAGGGGGAACCTAGTTGTTGCAGGGGCTCCAAGGGTTCCACGCACATTCAGAAACAGACACAGATGCCAGAGAGGTCAGTCAGTCTGCAAATGCATTTTATTTTTTAGGGTATTGCCATAGGGCATGTGTACTCACAGGAGAGAAATAGCAACAGGGACAAAGGGAGAGAGAGAGAAAATGATAAATCATGCGGGGTGCAGGGGGAGCTGGCCATGCTGCAATCTCTTCTCCTCCATTCTCTTCTCAGGATTTTAGGTATGTACACACGTGCACCTGTGTGATTTTCTTTCTTTTCTTTTTTTTTTTTTTTAAAAGAATTATTTAACTTTATTTATTTACTTTTATTTGACCAGAGAGAGAGAAAGAGAAAGTGAGAAAGCAAGCTACCCAGTCCAGGATTCAAACTACGGTCACCCATGTGGGAATCCAGTGCCTTAACCCCCACACCACCTGCCGGCCCCACCTATGTGATTTTTAAGCCACTAGGTCAAGGACTCGAACAGTGGTCAGCTATGTTGGAGTCCAGCACCTTAACTGTCATGCCACTTGCTGGCCCCAGCAAATGCATTTTGAACACTTATTGTGGGCCAGATATTTGCTATGCTCAAGGAATATAATGGAGAAATGGCACACAGTATCAAGGCAAGGAAGAGAGTTTCCATCTGTGCAATGGGAAGAGGGCACGGCAGGGAGCAGGATGTGCAGTTTGGCCTTAGGCACACTGAAACAGACAGGTCGTATGCTCAGATCTGCTTAATAGAGCATCATTCACTTTGCCGTGTGGAGGAAGGATTGGAGGAGGGAGTCATTCACCTTGCCGTGTGGAGAAAGGATTGGAGGAGGGAGTTGGGGCCTAGGAGATGAACTACAGGATGATACATCCCACATCCCCTTTAGTCTCCACATCTTAGCCCTAGCTGTGGCTTCTATCACTGTGTTGGGACAGAGATTTGGCTGCTATAATAGGAACACAAAGTAAACACAGTTTCAAATAAGAGACTGTTGGAGGCAAGAAACAACGGGAAAAAGGAAAGAGGAGAGATCTGAAAGATGTTAAGGTGTAAGGCAGAAATGGCTACTTGTCTCCACCCCCTCAACATCTGTTCTCCCCTTCTTCTGTGTTAATGGAACCTCCAATTTTCATCCGGGCACATGGCCACATAGAATAAAAATGCTATTTCCTGGTGATCTGAATGTGGCTATGTGACAAGTTCTTCGGACCTGTGGGATGTGATGTGGTGCCTGTAAGGCAATGTGGTTGAGTGGTTGGCTACCTTGGGTCACGGGGAAGATGGGAACATTGTGGGGCTGGCAGAGCCAAAGCCCGAGGAATATTTAGAATGGAGGAAAGGTCTGATTTTCACATGGAATGGAAATAAACTTTGCCTTTGAGACTCTGTTTGCTTTGGGTTCCTGTTACCACAGCCAGATCTATCCTGACACAAAGTGGCAGAAGCCATAGATGAGGGTTAAGACATAGGACTAGAGGACAGGAAGTTGCGGAGATTTTTCTTTCTTTCTTTTTTCTTTTTTTTTTTTTGTCGTCATCGTCCTTATACTCAAGGCAGTGTGTATTTCTTAAAGCCTGCAATATAATCACGTCCATGGGGCCAGGAATATGTGAAAGCAGGTGATTTGTAGGGACCAGGGTCTCAGCAATCCCTCGCCACCTCCAAGCTGGCCCTGTTGGAGCTGGAAGGTTTCGAGTCAGCCTGCCTTCTACAGCTGTCTCCATGGTGACCCATCCTACTGGCAGCCCCTAGAGCAGCCTATTTTTCCTACCAGTGTTCAATGTCTGCCTCTCTCTCAGGGTTTATTTCTAGCTTTCACATTTAAGGCTGTAACAAAGGTCTTCCCACATCCATGGAAGCCAGGCTCTGTCACGGTCAGGTCACTATCCTCAGTGAGATTCCACGAATCCTTCATGCTCTAGTCCTCGCCTACCTCCCTAGCCCTGCTTCTTAGCACT